AGGTGGAACCTCCAGCCAAAAAGCGAGGCGTACTCCCAGCCCTCCCTCTCCGCCTCGTCTGGACGCTGCTGTGAACACGAACATAAACTTAAATCAGCTTTTCATTTTCCCCAAAAATAAAAACATGAGGGCAGAAGAGACGCTCAAAGCAAACTTTCCTAAATTCATTTGTGGAGCTTGGCCACCATCTAGTGGTTACTATGGGGAACTTCAGCTGTTTGTGACTTAATTTTGTAATTTAATTTTTATTTTAAAATTCAATTTAGGAAAAGCTATTAATCCACATTTTTGGCTAACATCATTTTTTCACTTGTCTTCATCAGCTCTTTCCTTTATACATCAAATCAGGCCAGCAAATCCTTACTGACATGATATTTTGGTCAAAGATATCTTCTCAAAAGATAAACAAAAAAAATAATAAAACATACAGTGTATGGAATAAAATAAGCCATCAAACTGATGGAAACTTTAAGACTTTAATGTTCCTCTGACTATTATCATGGTTGCCTTCTTTACATCACCGGATTTCTTAGGATGGGCAGACATGATGGGGATACACGGATCCGTCACCTAAAAAGAATGGGGGTGCAAAGTAGGATATCTGCTGTGTTACAGAATGTATCATAATCCCAGAGTGAGAAAGCAGATGGCCGCCCCTCCCTGAGCCTGGTTCCCCCGGAGGTTTCTTCCTGTTAAAAGGGAGTTTTTCCTTCCCACTGTCGCCAAAGTGCTTGCTTATAGGGGGTCATATGATTGTTGGGTTTTTCTCTGTATCTATGAAGCGCCTTGAGGTGACTTTTGTTGTGATTTGGCGCTATATAAATAAAATTGAATTGAATTGAATTGAATAGAAAAGTCCATAAAGAACATAATTTCTTCTTAATTTCTTCTTAGAAAACAAGAAAAAAAAACACTTAAGGAATTTACAATATGCAGCATGAAGAAATAGGATTAAGAATTCCAGAGACCAATAGGGATTATTTATGGGATTATTTGACAATCATTCATGCAACACCTCAAAATTAGCTGGTAATGCTTCAGAATATGGCCCACGACTAAGAGTGAATAATAGAACATCATCATGTACATCAACATAATACAGCCCACGCTCATTATTATTATTAGTTTATTTATGATGTCAGACGGAGAAATTGTATTGGGTTTCTTGCAAAGTTACCATAAAATTACGCTGAACTTAAAACTGCTTACAGTATATTTTGCATCTCTTTTCCTGAAAACACCCAAAGCTATGCAAATACACACATTGAAACTCTATTTATCATGCCCTTATTATAAAGTGTCACCGCTTTGTTCATTGCAGACTCATTTGTCTTGCTTTTGGCTTTGTTGAAGCGCCGATATTTAATATGTCTGAAAAAAACAGTGAATGAAGTATACTTTGTTCAAATTCATGTCAAACTCATTTCCTTCTCTTCTGCTACCTTTCTCAGAGCGTCCATCTTCTGCTGGTCTCGTCGCCTCATCCGTATCCATCGTCTCCGTCGGTTGGTGTGGTACATCTTCTCTGCCGGCACCCACGACTTGGGACGTCGGTCTGGGGGAATGGTGATGCCGTACTCCCAGCCTGAACACACAGAAAAGGACTTATTAGTTTTAATTTACTCTCTTTTGTTGAAAGTGGTATTATTGTGTGCCTGTGTGTACCTTGATCATCCACAGCCCTGTTGAGATCCTCACTCCACTCCACCTCCTCCCATACCCAACCTGGTGGACACTCAATCTCGTCCTTTGGCACCGCCTTCTCCCCGTTCTGACAAAGATACACTTGCTTAGATTTACTGCGATGACTGAAGCCAAAATATGTTACATAAGCACTTATACATACCACATCCGTGTATCCTTCCTGCATGCCGATCCACTGGCCACCTGGTAGCCTCATCTGGTTTTCAAATACTTCCTCTGTGAAGGTCATGTGACCGGCATCCACATCAAACAAGAGTCTGAAGCATTAACAGCACAAAGCAACAGATACATACACATTCATTTACAAATGACCTTCATGTTTAAATATTTTCATTTGCCACATTTAACTCACTGCTAAACAACTACAGTTGTGGTCAGAAGCTTACATCCATCATCATAGGCATGAATGTTGGGGTAACTTTGGACTTCTAATTTTGGATTTCTCTAATCTACACATGGTCAAAAGTATACACATTTACCCCCCACACACTCTAATATTTAGTTAAATGTTCATTAGCACAACCAGATGTTTTTGTTAGCCGTCAACAAGCTTTTGGCACAATTCTGGTTGAATATTTGAATACTTTTCTTGGCAGAAACTGTAGAGTTCATTTAGACTGGTTGCTTTCCTGACATGGACCCAACTTTTGAGCTCACTCCAAAAATATTCAATAGGGTTGAGGTCAGGCTATGGGACGGCAATTCCAGAAGCTTAACATGAGATTGCTTTATCCATTCCAGACGCAGCTTTGAAGCATGTTTGTGATCACTGGTTTGTTGGAACACCCAACTGTGTTCACGTTTCAACCAACAAACTGTTGATTTGAGGTGAAGTTGAAGAATTTGGAGGTAGTCCTCTCCCTTCATTATTCCACCCACTTTGTGCAATGTAGCAGTACCACTGGAAGCAAAACAGCCACAGAGCATGATGCACCACCGCCATGCTTGACAGCTGATGCAATGTTCTAGTCCTCCAATATCCCTCTTATCATTGTGGCCAAATAGCTCAATTTTTGTCTCGTCTCATCATAAAACCTTTCTCCTTGAGGTATTTAAGCATGTCCGTGTGGGCAGCTGCAAATTTCAGGTTGAGCTTGAAAGTGTTGATTTTAGGGTGAGGGCTTCTTTCTTCGTCTGCAGCCTCTCAGTCCATTATGATGTAAAGTTCACTTCACTGTGGACAGAGATGCTGGTGTTTCAGAAGTTTTCAGTTCATGGTGGGCTTGAGCCTTGGTTGTTTCTGGGTTGTTCCCAAACATCCTAACAAATTTCCTTTCATCTGATTGTGACAGTTAGGGTCTTCTTTCAGACCTTAGCAAAGTCA